AAGCAGTCACCAGGAAACAGTGATTTTTCCAGTTGATTTGTGGATTTCCTTCATGAGGGAAAACCTGCCTTTTTCCACACAAAATGAAGCCATTCCCACCTAGCAGTGTTTGTAACGTTTACCTTGCAGTTTAATCAATCAACTGTTACCACAAATTAAACCACTGAACTATCAACTTGAGTCCACTGTGAAAAAAAAAAAAACATTTTACAGTAAAGGGCTGTCATTAAGTTTTGAGTCACCGGTAGCCTTGTAGCAAACTTGTTACTTTACGGGTGAATTCTGACTACCAATTAACAACAGGCAATTTTTCGCATCAAGGGAAACTTAAGCAGACTCAGTTGTGACAGGTGTTACAGACAACCGCCCTTAATGACAGCCCTGCAGTATTACCATCAACTCACCCTCCTTTTCCACCCTCTCGTAATTTGTCAGATTCTTGGTGTAAATCAAATACTGAAAGGATAGAATCCATGAACTGCATTAGTTAGATAGTGCCACTGTAAGTCAAAATGTTTTTATTTCATACAAATCCATATCTCACCTATGTGAGCTCTATCAGAGACTAGAAGTCTTTTCTGCCAATCTGTGACCCCTGCAAACAAGTACATTCATTATGTTTCCAGTTTTAAAATATGGCATCAACGTACATTTATTTAGCATCATATTTAATGGTAGTGGTGTGCCAAACATTGATTATTACCGTTCATAATTTGATCTAAAAACCTTAAGCAATGGGATGTTTTTAATCTATTATGGAAAATGCTCAATTGATTATCACAGAAAAATAAAAATAAAACAAAAAAGAATATTAAAAATAGTTTGTGTGTTGTCTTTTTAATGGACTCATATTGCATCTATAATCCACTGATGACATTTTTCTGATATATTTTGTATATTATTTAATATTCTTTAGTCATGTTCTAAAACACAGCACAAAGTTCTGTGCTCAGAAAGGAAAGCAAACACTAGAATTGATAATTCTCATTTTCAAACCATAACTTTAACAAACATGGACTGAAGTCAAACATATTTTAATTAGAATTTATTTTATACATGTAACTTATTAAACATACTTGCTCTACGACATAGCCAAATCAAAATGAATGATTGCTTTGCAACAGACATTGTGGTGTTAATTTAAATGGAAAAAAAACACTGAAACCTACTTGCAATCATTGTTTAGAACATGATTGTTTTTTAATTAATATTTCAGGTTCTTTCATTTTCATTAAATATGGAACAAGCAGAGAGGAAAGTTTGAAGGCATAATCACCTTTAGCTTCAAGTGCCTCTAACTCCTCAAAGAACTGCGGAATATGAATCACTACACCATTTCCTGTTGAATTTAAGATGAAATAACGGTATAAAAGGTGCCGCTAAAGATAACAAATAAGAGATTGTTCTACACTGCAGTATAATCTCAACAAATTCTTCATAATGAATCTACGCAGTGATTGTGTATAAACACTTACCAATAATGCTAACAGCCTTCGGCTGTATCAGTCCACTAAAACCAAAAGAACAAAGAGAAACATTGGGATGATGTTTCATTAGGGCTGAAAACTATTAAGAAGTTAAAATCTTTTAAAAATCGGAATGATCGATATCATTTCAATCCCTTCAAAATAACAATATGAATCTGTATGTATAGATGCTGGATGAAAAGGATTTCCTGATCAAACATAGACATCAGGACAAACATTTTGTGGTCTATTGATTATTCATTGATTATTCATTGATCAATCAATTATTGAATTATAACTTATCAATTACCAATTGATTACCCACTGATTACTCATTGATTGCAATTATATAATTATGCTGCACATCTATTACAATTTTCCAGCACTGCTTTATATTTTTAACTCATCATAACTGACTTTTTCTATTATAGCACTCTTCAGAAATAATCAAGTCTGATGCTTCAGATGCTCCTCGCACTGCACCCAAATTAATAAACTGAAATCCTGAAAGACGCCATGTGTTTCTTGAACAAATTGTTTTCATTTCTTATTTTAGATTCGGTTTGGTTTGTGTAGTCACAAGATTTTATTGATTACTAATCATTCTGATTTCTTTAGTTTTATTCCCCTGAGGAATGTGCCCCACCCCCCCACCACCACTGCCCCCCACAAACCATAGGACATGTGACAGTCTTGCCTCACAATAAAAATTCATTCCTGTATTGGCTAATTATCTTGGACCTGAGAGGGAAAAGAATCATTTGATAGATTTGTGAGATATCAAAACAATCTACTGTTACTTCTTACCTTGGAACCATGTGAAAGAAATATTTCTCTGAGTCAACAACCACTGTGTGACCAGCATTGTTCCCACCCTATATAACAATAAGAACAAATGGAACAATATCTTAGTGGCAGAAAAAGCTGTTAGCAGTTGTCTTACAACAAAAACATTTTTTGTTTTTTTCAGTAGAGAAAATAACATGAATATTGTGTAAATAATAAATCACTTAATGTATGACCAAATTTAATGTTAAATTATAAATAATGAAGGGAGCAATTGATTTGAATTTGCATCCCTCTACAGGCTGGCTTTTAGCCAGAATTTGTGAAGTGACCATCCAAATTGTGTTTTAGGGCCTGCTTAAATGAGCAATTTATAAGGCAACATATGAAAAATAAAACAATTTTTTTCAGCAAGTGGCCGTCCACAGGACACCTGGACACCTGGACACCCGGACACCCAACTGGCTAAAAGCCTGTCTACAGCATGGTCGATAACAAGAACAAGGAGGTTTCAAGCTTGACGACTTGTTTTGGCCTTTTGACTTTTGTTACCTGTATATTACTCTATATGAGATAGAACGCCCTATAAAATTATGCATTCAGGAGCAGGACGGTGACAAAGTTTATTAGACAACCAAGAGAAGTTAGTATACACTGTGTCACCATAATTATCATTATAACTTACAGTTAGTAGGCTTTGTGGAGAACACTATTCAGGCTATAACATGAATGGGCCAATCAGGTGCTATTCAGGCTTACTAATCATGCTTAACAAACTGATCAACAAACAGTATTTCAAATGTCACAAAGATCCAAGCAAGACAGAATGCCATTTACTTTCATTGTCACATTCACACTTCCAAAATGCTCAATCAGAATCACAGATTGTTGGTTATTGTTTCAATAGTTTGCACATCATCCAATGTAATCTACAGTATAACTTCTGCAAAATGCTTTACATTGATGAGACAGCTAAAGACTAGGAGGTGGATTTCTAGAGCATCAAGGAATGTAAAAAATCATCAACAAAGAAGCCCCTAGATCTGTCTCTAAATAATGAATTCAATCTTCTCAGCCATTCTTTCAAAAACATAATGAATACAAGACAATATAACAACAAACAACACAACAGATTTAAATTCATGTGTTAATCTCCTGGAGCCTTCTAATTGGGAACACCCAAGACTTCATTTATACTCATATGAGCTTACTTCTCCATCAAAACAACATCGACAAGGCAAATTCGTAAGATTACAGAACAGAAATTTATCTTTCAACTCAGTTCCTTGTCTCCCAATGGCATAAATTAGGGTCTTTCATTTAACTTATTTCCATGCTTCCTCTGACAGTAGCGTACATGTAACTTTGTTCTGTCGAAGGACTATCGCTCGATCTGGCGGTAATCGAATTATGGAATATGTCGGTGGGCAGTTCGTCACCCTTGTGGTGAGATGATAAGAGATATGGATTGAAATAAATGAACAGACAACGACAGCAAGCCATGGCAGATCAAACCATGAAATAAGCATAAGAGCCACGTAAGTCAACATTCAAGCCGGTTCATGTTAAATGAAGCAAAGCAACTGAAATGCTGAGCTGCTGTTTACAAAACCTGCGAACTTGATTAATCATCTTCGCGTGTAGACCAAAGATCTCCCTTTACAGATCTATACAATACGAACATAAGCTACAATAGATTACAGTAATTCACTTTGTTTTTGCATACCTGACACCGGCAAACGAAATCAGCATTTGTGGACAAGATGTCGACGAGCTTTCCTTTCCCTTCATCACCCCATTGTGCTCCTAAAACAACGGTGACTTTCGCTGCAGGACCCACTGCCTTTCTGAGTGGTGTTCCTGGTCCATTAGCTAAGGATGACATGGTTAGGAAATGAAAATATTGTAAGAAAAGGTCAAAATCTATTCCGCGCCAATTCGCTAATTCGTAATTAGGCACGTGTTTACAGCTTGGTAACCGCTGACAGGCAACGTCTTCCCCAGCCGGGCTCTAACGGAGGGGGCCCGGGGTGGGGTTACTTCTGACCAAAATCTGTGATTTTCCTATACTCTATTTCGGTCCTAAGCGAAAAATCGATACCTCATTTCCGACCTCTAAAATTACTACATGGCTCTATGACTGAGATGCCGCTAACCAGAAATGTCCTTCATTTGCGCAAACATTCCAGAAGGGCTACAAAATTAGCTAAAATTGCCAAAGTTGATGTGATAAAAAAATAGTTCGTTGTAAACAAAATACCCAATGCTAAGCCAGAGTGAAAAACATCCCCTACTTCAGCCCAAAATGGTCAAAATTTATACTCTTTTCCAGACTAATACCCTTCGGGGCCACACATACCTACATAGCCCATATAAGGGAGTACCCAGGGGGAAGGGGTAACCTGCGATCATACCCTCCCTCCCTACCCCTCATTTCTTCTCCCTTCCAAGAAACGAAAACTGACTCCGATCTTACTATTTTAGGTTATGGATGGGACGTCTCTGGGCTTCTCTAAGCCCTCCTGATGATTGCCAAGGTCTTCCGTGGGAAGCTGTGATAAGTCATATTTTAACAGCAACATTACTGAAAATTTTCGCTACACCCAATTATCATGCACTAGTCAATTGAAACCCCCACCCTTTGGGTCCCGGGGAAGGGTAGGGGATAATAGGGGCATTAAATCACTTTTGAACAACAACCTGTCCCTTGAAGGTGGTTCATTTGACTAATTTCGACTTTGGGTTCCTGGTTCCGTCCCCACGTGGGGCGTGCTGGCAATAGAGAAACTGGGTACAAGTTCTACGTATGGAGCTTCAAAGATGGGGGAAGGCATGAGAAAGTTGAGAGTGGTTTG